TAGACTGAAAAATTCTTTTAAACTCTAAATAGTTTTTAAATGTGATAGTAATAATAGTCTCTTATTGTTGCGCTCAAATTTTACGAGCGTAAAGACATAAGCTCAGAGGCAATGTATGGAAGGTCTTTTTGTGTTTCTGGGAAATGGTTCACGCTCGAATAAGATTTTGTGACCTTAACGAGTTAGCAGCTTCCGTGTTCATGCAAGTCCAAAAAACTTCTTAACAAAGAAAATCAAAACAAGTTACCTTGAATAACAACGTATAAGAAACGTAACGATTTTTAAGCAATGAAAATGACAATCTGTGGTTTTAAGTACAAGCTTTCGCAAATCTCTCTCATTTGACTAAATAATCACACTGCCCAAAAGCAAAAGCCACCTGGTATTACTTTTTAAAGAATCTCTGTCTGTTACAGATACACGTGGTAGTTGTCACTTGGCCCGTAAATTCTTTAACAAATAAATTGCAATGTGTTAACGAAAATATTTTAATTGACTGTTCAATTGCTTCTCTTCGGGATTGTTTTACCGGCCACTGTCAATGTATATAGAATGGGCTAGCTCATGGTTTTTTGGTGTGATTAAGTTTATTTTTGCCAGTTTCTAAAAGACTCGTGCTTTCATTATTTAAGTAAAATTCTCATTATTTTTTATAGGTTAGCTATAAGGGAAAGACCATTAAACTCTTTTTGAGACTAAACACAAAGCTTTTCGGATCTGATTTTGTCGTTGAGCGCCATAAAGAAGACGGTAGCATTGAAACGAAAACGGTAACGGATCAGTGTTACCTAGTCGGAGAAGCTGAGACATTTCACACCAGTGTGGCCATAAGTGACTGTGATGGATTGGTAAGAAACCATTAATTTATGCATACTCTAATCTCATCTTAAGCTACGGTAAAATGGGCAACAAAACGTGCGACTTGTTTCGAAACATTGCTGCAAAACGAGTTGAATAGCAATGTTCACGTTGTACCTATCAATTTTTTATCTGAGTGGAAACAAGCAAGATTTGTGTTTTGTTAGAGTGCCAAACTTTGTTGAAAGAGAGTAAGTGGACTTGTTGTAGCCTTATGATCTATGTTTTTCCCTTTCTTGCACTAATTTCTGAAAACTCTGTATTTTCTATTTACCTAAAGAACTTTTGGTATCCTGTAAAAAAATACATTTCTAATTGTCATAATAATAAATAGGTAGAAATATTGTAAAAAAAATTCTCTCTAGTTCTTATTGCTGTCACTTGTAGAACATGGCCACGAATTCTTGGCTTTCCCGGCTTCTGGTTTTCTGGCCGAGAAAGCCATGAAATGCCGGCCTATTTTTTAGTGTGGCCGGAAAAGCCATGCTTCTATAGCCAGGCTTACCTCAAAACCCTGGCCTTGACCCGGGCTTACCAGGCTTTTCCAGGCCACGCTTTCCTGGCAAGCCCGGCCAAGACCTTGGCAAGCCTGGCATGCTTTTGACCGCGCTCCTGATGCAAGGGTAGTATGTAATGTTAAACAAAAAAATTACCCTTGCCAATATTTTGTCATATGTAAAATACTGTCAAGGAAACTGACTCCGTGGTTGGAAACTGTATTGCAATATATATGTCGTGGTTCAATATCCTTGGTTTAATTCTTATTTCGTTTTGTTTTGGGGTATGATTATGTATGATAATGAGTTTAAAACAAAGGGAAATAATATTCAAACAAAGGATAACATTGAACCCCAACTTATACACTGTATGTGACATCCCATGTATCTGCACCTCTAAATTCTATCCTAAAAACAAATGTTTATGTTACTAACTAGTTATTTCCTTATGTCCATCTTCATTAAATTTAAGTGCTGGTGATATGTGCCTGAATGCACCATCAAGGAAGGCTTCTCTGTCATGAAACACTAGTTTATCATGCACAACTGCATCACGTTCTGGACAAACTGTCTTCCCACCACACTCGACACAGCGAATCAGCCATTACTTTTGATGGCAGAGTCCACACAGTGGTGACACTGAGTCAGACCCTTCCAAGAGAAGAATGGTTTTGAAAATCAATGGCCTTGATGCTTCCCAGTTTTTATTTAGGTTTGCCATCCTTTTTACCCATTTCACATTTACAGAGTGCATGGAATTGAGAAGAGCTTGACATTTTTCAAAAAGTTCCTCAAGTGATTGGTCTATACAGGAAATAAGAGAATTAAAACCAATAAAAAGATCGATCTTAGTATCCTTATTTAAGCTTGCTATTTTTGTTCTCTTAACATTTCACCGACTATTTATAAAACAAAATGAATCTAACCCTGTTCGTGGTCTTCATGTTCACCCAAAGCATCATCTTTAATATAGATGTCGTCAGAAGGCCCTGCGTGCCAGAAATTTCAGAAAATACTTGTAACATTCAAACGCAAATGAAAGAAGGGTGATTAATCTTAAATTGATGAATAAACACCCTCTTCTATTTTCACTTACTAGTAAACGTGGCTATAAAAAAGTGAAAATTAATTGTTCTCGCTTTTGGCTTTCAGTCCCTGGCATGAAGAAACCGGAATTTAAAGTTTATCACCTTCAAAGGTGACCCTTCACGCGAAAAGGGGGCTTATGGATTTCACCAAAAACCGTTAATTTTTTTCACGGTCACGGTGCGTGAATTTGAGTTTTCACGCCGTGAATTTCAAATTCCACGCCTGTTCACTCCATCTGTGAATTTTTCACTATTAGCGTGAAACTAATCAAATCACGCCGTGAATTTTTTTAACCGGTGAAAACTTTCACGCCGTGAAATTCAGAGTGAAAAATAAAAAGTCAACATTTTCACGCCGTGAAGTTGACAGTGCACATTTTCACGCCGTGAAAAACATAGTCGAAGGTGAATAGCAATTACATGTCACGAAATCTAACCTGTACTTTTTTGTTTTTTCTCTCCCATCCGGCTGCCTTTCGAAATCGGAAGAAAAATGGCCCTAGCACGTCAAGCGAAATTTATGGAAGTTGATCCATGCAAGACATTATCTTTCCTCCAGAAAATTCAAGCTCTAGCTAGTAAGATTTACGCGATCAGAACGGCATGTGTTTCATGTCAATTTGTTTACATTACCTATAATTGCAACAGTCAATCACTTTTCCGCTTTTTTTCTGGTGACGTTTTCTTTCCCGCGACGTGCAAATTTCACCAATGTCAGAGATGCAGAGCAAGGGTTTCACTCAAAAAACTTACAAAATTCTTTGCAGTTACACTTTATCTGGGTATTGTCGTCTGTGTAGGACACGCATTGCAGTGAACTGACTGATCCTATCTGCTGTTGTACCCGCCTATCAAATGCGCTGGTAAACGGTGCTCCATTTCAAGTTCGTTCTCTCATTCCTAAATGTTACACCCAAAATATCGCCTTGAAGCTAATCTTATTTCGTGTTCCTCTAAAACATTTTTCAAAAGTATTTCATTGATAAAAATTGAATTATTTGTTAGATACATGCCGCGCGTAGCAACCCATGGAATTCTTAAACACGGTTTTTCTTTTCCTTTCATCATGGAAGAAATCCTCATCACGATTATCTTATCCCGATAATTAGTAGGTGGTCAGCCATATGCATGTCACGAAGCGTACAATAGATAGCAATTTTAAAACACGCAAGGTATACTCAAAATAAAACAAAGCAGTGTTGAAGAGATGCTATATCTTCTCTTCTCTTCTATTTCAAAGGAGGCTTTTGACGGCAAATTTTATTGCAACAGTTTTTATTGAAAAAGGAAAGCTTCTATCAGGTCAAGCTTCTTGCATTCTGCTGGTTCATGCCCTCGCGGTAACCCGACGTTTTCTGATGTACTGAACACCGGTACACAGGGAGGTTTATAATATTCTTCTCTGCTTTGGGATTGTTGTAAAGTTTACCCTGAGGATACCTTTCTTACGAGCCTTTGAAACAGAAATGAGTGGCCCGTTTATAGCATTTTGTCACGCTTTTCGGGGAGAAAGCGTGACGAAGCCCTGAGGTTTCCTCGTTTTGAATAATCAGGTTGGTATGACATTTAATTTAAAAAGCACAACTAAAGAATCATTTAGCGTTTCTATATTCTCATTTGTTACGTGGTGGCTTTCTAATATGATACAAAATGTTATTATTAATAAAAAGCTACAAAGATTCCCCCGCTGATGTTTGTTTGCTTTGCCACGCAATGACTAAAGTGTTCAGGGAGGATTACTAAAAGATTTGAATCTTTTAAAAAAGTGAACTTTGGATACTACTTTTCAAAAAACAAAGTATACATACAGTTCCAACATTCCCTTCATCTTATAGAAAGCTCTTTAGTGTAGCCATTTTTGCTTTGTTCGTCCTTTGCAATACTGAACGGCTTAATAACACTTAATATCAGTTCGCCGAAAAAAAGACAAGCGCATCAGGAAATTATTGAGATGTGTTATTGTCTGAGGTTGTTTCCTTCAAACGTTTCTGAGGCTTCTTCGATTCCCTCAGACTTTCTCTGCATTTAAGATTTATTGTGTTGTTTATCTCCCTAGCCACATCGTCACTACTTTCCACACCCGGAATTCGAGGAAACGCATGAAGCACTAATCCTGCAACAACAAAAAAATCATACACTCTTTGTTACTACGTATTCATTCCATAAATTCTGTCAAATGGGATAAATACTTCTGTTGAATGATTTTCACGATATCTTTTGTATGCGTATAGTTGTAGTAGCATTTGCCCTTGGAAATTTGTCATTGTTTCTAAGCTTTGCGTGAATGCTGCATATCGAAATCCAACCTAAATAATGACGAATTATCTTTCAGATCATAAACATGTCGTAGAAAACCTGAACCAATAAGTCTTAGTGAGGAAACAGAATGTTTCTTTTTTCCATTTTTCTACCTTTAAATGCTTTTGAATAGGTATATATACCAAACAAAGCATTTTATCGACTTGGTTCATCCGATGTATAACAGTGGTCTTATTAGAATGGCTTTCTCCGAGTCCCTTTTCATAAACAGGGTCGACGATATAATTATGTTGATTTGTCAATACTCACGTTTGACGAGTCCAGCCTTGTATTCATCGAGCTTGTCTTTGCCCGCGTTGCCACTTAAGTTACAAGAAGCAAGTTCATCTGCACTAAAAATCTCCTCCAAACATTTCCTCGTGTACTTCTTTCTCGAAGACGCTTTTTGTTGATATTTCTTTAGGTTACAGGCAGTCTCTTTCGGCAGATTGGAAACGATGGGGGAAATGCTTGATAACGGTTGTAGACGACGAGTTGGTTTTACCGGTGTTGACTGCAATGTATCGTCGAGTGCGCGGGATTCTGGTTGGAAAGACTGTACGGGCTGTGAGACGGATGTGCTTGTTGAAGTGGACGTAGATGCGATTATGGGCCGACTCTGTGTGTGGGGACTGTGAACTGTAGACTGTGGAGATGCTGACCGGATCGGTAATTGAACATTAGGAATGTTGTAATTTGGGGGTTGGCTGCGAGGATCATTAACAGATAAAGGGACCAGGCAAATTCCAGCTTCTATGGCCGCTAATCTAGCTTCTATTGCAGTCACCAAACTGAATAAAAGATCTGCTTTCTTATGTAGGCCTTCCACCCAATCTTTCGTTGTTTTCACATCCTAAGTAAGACGTTGAGATTGGTATTATGCGTTTCCTTATGCGTTTCCATTTCTAAAGCCTTAAATAAAACAAGGTCTTGCACTTAATAGTACTGTCGATTGGTGCAAATCAGTGCTCATCCGAAATTGGTGTGATTGCATGCTGCATGTACTAACAAAGAAAGAAAAGTGTCCCTAAAATGATGACTCGATGAAGATGCGAAGGATCTGGGGACCTAAATAGCCCGAATTTGAAGTGAACTTCCCTAAAACATACAACAGCAAAGAGAAAACTAAGACCTAGCAAATTTTTGTCTGTGAGACGTCTTGTTAATTTATCTCATCATTCAGGGAATACGTTAGATCAATTCCGCTTGAACATGGAACAACTACAATCAAAACATGAATATTACAAAGTACTTGAATAATATTTAGAAACAAGAAAAAAAAACCTTTTTTCAACCAAATTGGGGGATACGAGGGAGGAGGCAGGTCCGTTTCAGTAGGGTGGAAGGGGAAATAATTATTATAAAGGGACCCTTCTTTTCTCGCAAATATAACAGTTTTCTTTTCAGAAAATGTGCAGGAGGGCTTCATGCCCCGATCTCGCTGTCCCTCATACTGAATAAATCACGAAATACTTTTTTTAAATTAAATGCTAATTCTAGTACCTCAGCAATTTGACTCGTGTCTGGAAGGTAGTCCAACGCATCATTCTCCCATATTCCAGTGAAGTCATAGTTATAGACGTCCTTGTCGTCGCTGATATTTTGAGGCTGCTGGTCTTCATTGGTAACATCTGATAATGATGATAATGAGCTCTCGCGACGGCGTTTCACAAAGGTGTCAGGCTTCTTCAGTTTCTCACTTTGCGGGCCAGCAACATCTTTGCACTTGCACGCCCCGGGTTTTGAAGTGCCAACTTCTGGTTTTGTCACCAATTCGTTGTCTTGGCCGACACGGGTGCCATGGATTGTTTTCGCCGCAGTTTTTTCTTTCAAATTTCTCTCTTGAAAAGTTAAAATGTTCTGATTTCGCTTCGAGATATATTCTGTGTACTGTGTTGCTTCAGACGTTTTCTCAGGGCTACCCGAATTCTTCTGCCGGGCAAGTTGTTTTAGGGGGATGTCGTCTTCATCGTCGTCCGATTCTTGTTTGGATGTTTCATTGCCTAAAATGATTAGGGTAACTTAAATTGATATGTTCGCTGAGGCTACATGCCTGACGGCCGGGAAGGGTCTTGAATAGACTATAATCTCTGACCGCCTTTTAGAAACGTGCAGAATTTCAACAAAATGTCCTGCCCTAACCGCCAGAAAGAACTGTACCTCTCTCAGGCCTATCTGTAGCGGTAAGGAAAACGAATAATACTTCGCAGCTGAACGCGCTGAAGCGCAGGATTCGACTAACAAGAATTTTGTTTGGAGCCCAAATTTTCATTCAGCAAGTAATCACGTTAAGAGCTTTTAAAGGTTAATTCGGTTAAAAGGTTTGTCAGCCAGGCATTGAAGTAATATGCGATCAGGCGCTGATAGTGGAAACTTAATTGAAATGGATTGCAACTGGGGATTTGTTTCCGACCATCCTGAAGGACTGATGAAACGCAATTCTAGAATAAACTTTGCCTACGTGATTTTCATTGAAAGCCACATTTTAGTTTGGGAATTCGAAAGAGACGCCAAATACCTCATAAGAAGAAATGAAAGTGAAAGTAACGTACTTTTTGTTTGAACGGGACTCCATGATTCCACGGCAACAGCAGCATGACGTACAGATCCCCGGCCAAATTTTACTTTGATCTTTTGGCCAACGGCAAGTGGTCCCTCTGGATCGATGGACTTTCTCTTTATTCTTTGCTGAACTCCGCACCATTTGTCAGTAGTACGCCATTCAATAAGGACTTCACGATCCATTATAGTAGTGGGTAGATATATTATACAGTTCGATAATGTCGTTTTGCAAGAAAGAACCGAAATAGTTTTCAAGTCCTTTGCACTGACTTGTATTTATAAGAGTGTGCGTTAGCGTGATAGACTTTCTTGCCGTGCAAAATGCAGAAATTGTTGTCATAGACCAATTTCATGATTGAGATATGATTGTGATAAGGAAATATAAAAAAGGAAATCCGGTCTCGATTATCGTCGTTGCTCCTCAGCAAATGGTTCGATACTACATGAAACAAAAGCTGTAGATATTACAGCGGACGAAAACAAGGGGATTCACAAACGAGCGTAAACAATAAACAAAACTCGAAAATATACCATGACAGCCACATTTGCATTTAAAATTTACCAAAATGAACTTAATATCATTAAAATATATTTTGCGTGTGCTGCTAGCCGACGTAGTAAGATTGTCAAATAACACAAGGGGAAAGTCCATGCCTCCCGGCCCACGCCTTTTGGCGTCACGCAATGTGACAAACCCCTAAGACGTCTGCGTGAGACCCAGTATCGTTTCTATAACGTGTTTCTGTCCCTCATTTATTCTACAGTTTGGCTTAATTTTCAATTTTAACAACAAACAACAACAGCAACAAGTTTTATTGAAATTCAGCATAACTAATTTCACCTCATTGAAATAAATATTCTTAAGGATTGTTATTAACTTTTTTTTTTGTAAGGGATGTTGCCAGATGGTCAAATAACACACGCATCTTGACGTGACTTTGACTATAACATTGAGGGCCGTGACAATAACAGAGAAATAAGTACAAGAGTGTTGTCAGGTTGTCAGGGCACGCAATGAAAAATTACACGCATTATGCCGTGACTTTAATTAAATATCCCGGACTATGGGTATGTACATGAGTTAGGGGGTGCAAGAACTTTCCTTTTCCGGAAAGATTGCGTTCCTTTCATCTTGTGATCTTAGAAGTCAGCGCGTTTCTTGAGGGTAACATGGCACAGTTGACACCTCAAGTAGAAGCACTAAAAGCTCTCCAGTTGTTCGAAGAAGCGATGAAAACATTGGAAAGTGCATGTTGTTTGTATGCAGAGTTCACAGATTTTGGAGATCCTTACGACGATCACTTACAGCCACGTAGACGTGAGCTGCAGTGAACTCACCAGAGTACGTACTGCCCAACAATCTGTCACCTTTGTTCTTTCAATTTGATCAATTTTTTTAATATATATTTTAACGAATTCATACATTATTAAAAATTATTACATTTTGATGATAACAGTTATGAAAGTTGGCATCGAGGCCTTGAAAGAGATGATTGAAGTTGACAAAACAAAACAACAAACAAAATTTTATTGAAAATTGGAAAATAACTAATTACATTACTTTCCCACCCGCAAATAGCTTATGAACTAATCGAGGCGGGGGGGAGCTGAAGACATATTACAAAACAAGATTTATATATAGATGGACTTAATAACAGTGAAGACACTACAATACAGTAAATAGAATTTAAACTAACATAAAACAAGGCATGTACATAACGATTACGAAGAGAGGCTAACCCAAAGTATTAAATAACTTAATAAGACGGGAGACTTCGACATAATCATCTTCTGACCGCAAAAAATTTAGTAATAATTCCTTTATTTTTTTACGAAAGGAGGAACGTTTAAGTATTTTAAGCGAATACGGAATAGAGTTCCAAATTTGGGCACCGATTCTCATGAAAAAGGCATACATTTTATCGGCTCTAGAGAACTTAACATAAAACGAGTTGCTAGAGACAGATCTTGTTCTGTAGTTATGAATCTGACTTGTTTTAACGAACTGATTGAGAATACTAACTGGTGCTGTCTGTCTGTTGATATCATACAATAAATAGCTACAATCTCTGAAAAATATGCTAGGCAGGGGAAGGCAATTTGATTTGAGAAAGAAGGGTACAGCGTGTTCCTTAGACTTACTGAAGTAAATGAGACATAAGGCCCGTTTTTGTAGAGTTAAGATCTTTCTTTGAAATGTCAAGGCACAATTTCCCCAACCACAAATACCATAAGTCAAGTAAGGGACAATTAATGAGTTGTAAACTGAAAGTAAAACACGACGCCGGACATAATGTCGAATTTTAGCTATAATTCCTATCGACTTGCTGATTTTGTGACGGATAGATTCGATGTGGTATTTCCATGAAAGATTTGAATCAATCATTAAGCCAAGATATTTTACATAATCTTTCATTTCAAGGTTTGCGTAGGTGTTAGTCACGGAGTCAAAAATTCTAATCCTAGGTATGAAGGGCATATTCTTTTGCCGGGGACGAAAGATTACAAAATTTGATTTTTTTATGTTCAAGGACAGTTTGTTGGCCTTTAGCCATTCGTTGACGTTGCCAAGCTCGCGATTAACAAATGTTTCGAGTTCCTTTAGGTTGTTATTTGCAAGTATTATACTAGTATCGTCAGCAAATAGATAAAAGGCAAATAACGAAGAGGACTTGTAAATATCATTGATGTACAGTAGGAATAAGAGTGGTCCGAGGACTGAGCCTTGTGGCACGCCACACAAGGTCGTTTCAGCCTCAGACACAACATTATTAACTTCCGTAGTTTGCTTCCGATCAGTCGGGTATGATCTGAACCAGGAGTTTATTACACCTCTAATACCATAATTTTCAAGTTTAGCTAACAAAATTTCATGGTTAACAGTATCAAAAGCCTTTTTGAGATCGATGAAAACACCGCACGGAAATTTACCGTTGTCCATGTTTTGGAGAATTGTGTTAACAATATCAAGTACAGCATGCTGAGTACTGTGCTTACTGCGAAAACCGTATTGCTGATCATAGAGAATGTTGCAATCTTTGACAAACTTGGTAACTCTGGAGTACATAAGTTTTTCAAAAATCCTGTTATAAATCGAGAGCAGAGAAATAGGTCGGTAGTTTTCGGGCAGCGTGTCATCTTCGTCCTTAAATATCGGGATAATCTTAGCACACTTTAGTTTAGATGGAAAAATCCCTGAGCAAATAGACTGATAAAAATCGTGGCTAGAGGTACGGATATGACCCTTTTTGCTAATTTCAGCAGCCTAACTGGGGATGAGTAGAGACCATGGGCCTTGTTGTCTTGCAAAACTGAAATTTCTAAATTGATATCTTCCGGAATAATAGGTTCAAAGAAGAAAGTGCGATTAAGTGGCGGATCTAAATAATCATAGAATGTATTTATGGTCTGAGGAATTTCAGAAGCCAGTTTGCTCCCAACAGTGGCGAAATATTTGTTAAGAATATTGCTTATTTCCTTCGGGTCACTAGTTGGAACCTCATTCGGGTTTGAGCGAATAGAGTTAGTTGAGTTGCGCTTGTTTTTCTTTTTACAGTTTCCAATTAGCTCGTTAATTCCTTTCCAAGTTTGACGCATATTACATATGTTGAGATCAAAGAAACTTTGGTAGTAGTTCGCTTTACTTAATCTCGTAAGATAAATGATTTTATTTCTGTAAAATTTGTATTTGTCACGGTCTGAGGTATAGAAGAAGAGGTTATTCTTTACCCTGATTGATTTTCTTAAACCCGCAGTCAGCCATGGTTTAGCAAGGAATTTTTGTTTACGATTGGATATACTTCTTAAAGGAGTGTGTTTGTTAATTGTCTTGTTGACGCATTTGTAAAACCTGGAGAACGATTGATTGGCATCGATATGTTTGCAAATATTATTCCAATTAATATTTTGCAAGTCGTCAATGAAAGACTTTGCATTGAAGGTAGAATAGTCACGAACCTTAGTTTTGTTGTTTGGAAAGAATGGTTTACAGTGCGACGTTAATATGCACATCTGAGAGAAGTGATCTGTTGTATCGGACACGATATTGCCGCTGACTATATTATTCTCAGGATTATTTATGAAAATATTGTCAATTAAAGTTGCTGAATTACCGTAGACTCTAGTCGGCTTATCAACCACTGGGAACATTGAAAAACTTTGCATTGTTTGGAGCAAGGTTTGTGTGTAACTACAAGTTTCATATTTTAACAGATCTATGTTGAAGTCTCCCATGAGATAAATATTTTGATTTTGACGGCATTGGCGTTCAAGAAAATCTGTCAAGTATTCTAGAAACTCATTAGCGTTATTGTGTTGCCTATAAGTAACACCACAGGCAGATGAAGTTCAATCCATAGGGCTTGATAGCAAGAATTGGAGACTCGTTCAAGGACGCGGTATTTACAATTTTGATCAATGAACAGGCCAACACCACCGGCAGATAAAGGTGTTGGGACCGATTCAAAACAGTATCCTGGTAATTCTGGTACAAAATTAAAACTACATTCACGATCGCATATACGAGTTTCTGTTACACCAATAATAGTAAAACGGAAATTCATTTCACTTAAAACATGATGTTGAAATTCTTCAAAATTTTTCTTTAAGCTACGTATATTTGTATGTAAAAAGGAGATTTTTGATTGCAACTGTTTGCTGTCAATAAACTGCGCAAAGCTGTGTGGGGAATAATATTTTGAGCGTATTTTGTTTGAGGTGAGATTTATATCAGGATCAATATGTTTATCAAGAGAGTTTAGCTGGAATACACTAAGGTCGTAGAGACTACTGAGAGAATCTAGCAATTTTCTAGAAGGTCGATTAGCATCAATTAAACTATTAAACTGTGGGTGGGCAGAAGTCAGGACTTTACAGTTATAATATGGTAATTGCGCGAGTAAGGTCTTATTTTCGATCGCGCACTGTTTCTTTGTTTTGTGAGAAGTCATTTTTTATCGTGTACAATAGACATTTTTAGTAAAATCTAACCTTCAATGGCCAATTTAAATTCAAGTTCGTCGAGGTCCGCCATGCTCTTGAGCTTGATTATCCGCGATGTGGAGTCTTTTCGTAAACAAATAACGGGACCCTTTGACCAGCAATATTGATAGTGAAGCTCTTCTTTAACTTTTTTAGCCTGGAATAGGACTGCTTGCATTCTTGGTGAAAGATGATCGTAAATTCTGGCCGACCCTTCTGGTAGACCAACCGCAGCTGGGGTTACATTGCTAATTTCTTTCCGATGAGACATTAGAGATTCCTTAACCAGCCGTCTCACGAATCTGCAGACTATAGGCTTTGGATTTCCGGCGTTGTTTCTTTGCGGGACACGATGGGCAGTGTCAATATCTTGGATTGATATGTTCTCTCCCATTTCTTTAAACAATTTTACACAAAGCTTACTTGTTGTTGAAGCCGCTTCGTCAGAACACAACTCGGGAACACCGACAATTTTAACATTGTATTGAAAGCTATATTCTTGGAATTCATCGAGGGCGTTAGCAATGGCGTCCACCCTGGCCTTGATGTGTGAGAGTTGTGAACTTAGTCGTTGCAGCTCTTTGTTGGCAGTGGTTTTGAAGAGAAGAAAGTCATCATATTCCTTGCTTAGGAATTCAAGGCTGTGAGATTTTTCTTTAGCAGAAGGGGCGGCACTGCTGCTTTGTTGTTGAAATAAATCTTTTAGTCTTGAAATCTCCTCCGTTAACGTTGAAACTTTAGATTTGAGATCGTTATTTTCTCTCTTTAGGTTGGCAATAGACTCAGGCATAATGTGACACATGAAACAAGATAACAAAACAAATAGAAAAAAGCAGAAGGAACACTTAAACATCAGAAATTTACGAAATGTTACGCGGAGCACTTAAACACGCGGCCGTCCATCTTAACCACATCACACATATATGAAGTACCAAAAGACGCGGAAAGCAAAGATGACTGAGCCTTGACTCCTGACATGTTCACTGGAACTACAATGTCCAGCTGCGTCATTCATCTGTTACTCATAATACTGTATATTTAGCGAATGTGTTTTGTCCGTAACAGTGAAATCTCAATTTAATTGTCGTTGATGAAAATGACACGTTGTTTGTTTAGAAATCAAAAGCTATACTACTTGTCAGACTGACTGTATTTATCATGCCCAGTCTTTTAATTTTTTTAAGGGGGTGGGGTGGTTTGGTGGGTATACGGCTGGCTCTTTGATACATTTGTGACAACTTAACAAGCGAAGTGACATTTTAAAGTGTATGTCCCCTTAACACGCATTACAAGTCACGGTACTTGTAGGATGCGCAGACAACAAAAAATAAGGCACTTTCAGGTGTTTTCCCACTCACCCATTAAGCAAAACACGAGTTAGAACCTTAAAAAATTTCACTTAGTATATTTTCATAACCATTCTTTATTCACTGAATATAGAAAAAGACTGCACAGAGAAGCTTATCAGGTTCTGCGTGTTTCACCAAGTCTACTAGGTTCATACCCTTTAATAGCTGAATATCCACCTCCTTGGGGTATAAATCTACTTACAAAAAAGGGGAGAAAAACCTTCAAAGAAGTCCCCTAGTTTAGCAGTTGGTGACGAGGAAGAGGAAGGGGTGGGCTGTTTTTTCTTTATGTTACTACTGGGGCCACGAAATCTTCTGTACCAGGTCGACAATACTCTCGTATTTCTCGTTGGAGATATCTTCTCCGCTCTTCATCAAGACCACTGAGTAAGACCTGTGGTGGAAGAACACAAGGGGGGAGTTTGCTAACATCTTTCAACAACTGAAATTCTTTCTCGGGAGAATCTGCATATTCCTTGTAAAACACTTTCCCAGGATCATTTTTGTTGAAACTAAAGTGATGAATTTTGCTGATCCCTGTTAATTTTTTGAAATAAGGAGCAGGAAAGCTAGCCCAGTCATATGTTTTCACAAGTACAGTTCCATCATGCAGACCAACCAGCTTACCACAATTCACGCCGCTTAGGGTTGACTTGTCGTTGGCCTCAAGGATATCAAACAAAGAAGATATGAATGTTCTCCATAACTTTTGCTTCATGAGGCCAAAGCACCAGTCCGGGCTAAATTTGGTGTGACCCGCCTCGAGGAAAGAATACTTAACGTTTTCATGCAGATCATGAATCACACGCCAGCACCAGTACCAAATAACGTAGTTATTCTTGTTCTGGCCAACCACAGTTGTCTGTGTGGAAGTGAACATTTGTTTCTCCGGCTCCATGCTTTTCAAGAAAATCATGAACGTAGCTGATCGTAGCATTTGCTCCTTTTCCAGTGGCAACTGATTCATCAATGAAATAATTAATCTGCCGGGGTATCGATTCACAGCAAATGCCAAATATGCCACATTTTCTCGGTGTTTTGAAGTAAATGGGACCCGGTTGTTGAGGATTGGTCGGATAGTGCACTTGCTGGGCGTAATCAAAGGAATAATGCACAGTTCCTTGCAAAGAACAAGGTTGACTGGGGGAGAGAAATGAAACCGTTGAATGACCCTTGAGAAAATCTTTGCTATTATCAACCGCTGAATTGTAAATCTCTCGTTCGCGTTTTGCTTTCCTAAGGTGATCTGAATGAGCCTCTACGGCTGCAATTTTGTCCTCTTCTGAAGCTCCAGGACGCCCTGATATTTTTTCAGTATTTTTCTGGCAGGTGTGGCAAAGATCAGTAGACGGCTGCATTATTTTTATGAATGGAAGGAATTCGTTCCATGTTTGGACAAATTTGGTGTAACCCACAACTGTAAATCCTGCCGCTTCAGCTGCTTCTTTATAAGATCTCCATAGCTCTGCTTTTGTCGTGGAGGTTGGAAGAAGCTTGATTCGAAAGCTTTTGTAGCCCGGAACTCTACCTGGCAATGAGAGGCCTTCTCTTTGAGAGTAATTTTCTATGAAGCTGACAACATGTTGAAGGGAAGAGTGTGGAGTTCTGTTGTGTGGCGAGGATTTTTGGTTGCCGTGGACACAGGGGACAAGACCATTATTTCTTAAGTGACATTTCAGGTTGAAAAGTCTCTTTTTCGATATGCAGTGAACAAACAAAAAGGTTTTCCTGCAAACTTGATGACCTCTCAGAAAGTAGTTTGAGCGGGATCGCTTCATACCAGCCCTTTCTTTGGTATGTCCATCTAGTCTACCGAGGATAAGCATATCCAGTTGGTCTGCCGTCAGTTCTAAACATTGATACCTCATCTCAAGCACAGTGGCTTTCGAAAACAAAGTAGAACAGGGTCGTCCATTTAGACCGAGACTACATTGGCAAGAAGTGGAAAGAAACGTCTGAATGCACTCATCACTGACTTCATTTGAAACATCACTAGGTTCAGGATTCTCGTGCGGATCTTCGTCACCGTCATCGCATGGTGTCAATGCTGCTGACCTCTCAAATAGGGCATCGCTACCTTCTTCATCGGAACACTCATCTTCAGAGTCACTGGAAGAATAGATTTCTTGACTAGGCGGAAAGTAAACGGCTTGAACTGCATCAAGTTCCCTCTGTAGTGTTTCGTCAACTCCCCGCAAACCACTAGCAGAGATGTGATTTTCGTTTGCCATTCAAGATTTGTTTCGTGAAAAACTTACACAATTTGTCGACAAATATAGCTTATCAGAGTGCAACTGCCGCTTCGCCTTTGACGAAATCAATCTAAGGTTTATCACAATTGAAACATTTACCGATTAAAAGACAAGTTAAATAAAGGTGTATTATTCTTTTGGTACAATACAGTAAGTAATTGTGCTCCGTAAATATTTTTTTGGGTTTTTGATCGATCAATCAATCTTTTATTTTTGTCATTCTTCTTTATTACATCCAGTTGAAGGGGACCTCTAGCCAAGCTCGCTTTAGGAAGATTCCCTCACTATTATTATTCTAAAATTACAAACATCTTTAAGGTACTCATATGACAGTCTTGCATAATTGCCATAAGGATCAATAAACCTTCCTCTGTGCAGAAATGACAGCGAGGGGAAAGTTTTGTCGCGTGTTTTTCCTGTTTAAATCGTGGTGTCCTGCTGGGACTGTGAGCATGCGGTTATTCCCCAATAGACTCGTTGAAATTCAGTCTGCACGTGGCCTCGCTACATAGTCAAACCATTTCAAACTACTTCCATGGAGGCAGCCTTTCTCAGCCTCAGAAATGAATTGGAACCTCCGGTCAAGTAAAAACCGTCAGTATCTGTTGTCTGGTACAAATTTCAAGGTTTAGACACGCAATAAAACTTTGCATGTCACGTGCTCTTGTTGACAGTTAATACTATTTCAGCGAGCCAAGTATTTGTTACAGCAACTGCTTTTAAAAAACACACAAAAAATTAATAGAAACACACGAGAAATTCGTATAAATGAAACATGAATTTTGCAAAAGAATTATGTCGTTACAACGATTTGAACAGAGGGATAAATAATGAAATAACACCAACAGATAACAACAACACGCACGCTGTGGTAACGAAGCTATTGCGCGCTACATGATTAAATTAAAACTATTTAATCTTGAATTCTTAATTTGTGCACCAAGGTGCGGTAATTTCTATGAAAAATAATAATAGAAATAAACAAACCGGACAAATTGGGCAAATACGCTTTTAGACATCACATACAAAGACGCAATAAACAAGCATTTGTCAACACGGAGTGTGGAATCGGCATTACTTCATTGAAGAGATAAAAGCTTACAAATTCTTAATTTTAGACGAAATTTTGGTTGTAAATTTAGACAATACAAAGACGGAATCATTTGCAATTTTCTTGATTATCTTCGGTGCCTCACTTTTTAAGCGATTTCATTTGTTCAGCCGAAAATCCAAAAGTACATGTTACATTCATGAGGGCAAATATTGCATGACATCTAAACAATACACTTTTAAAAACAATGTTTCACTTCATTGTGACAGAAATGTGTTTTACAACATGAAAAAAAAACTGTAGTTGCGTGTTCGGAAGAAAAGGGTAACAATTAGATAACAATGTATAACATGAAGCTTTCAACGCTAGTAATTGGATTTGGGATAACATTTATACACGCTTGCACTAAATCTCTGAAGTTTGCATGGGAAAGACAAGTAAAATGTTTACGATACTTTGCATGAGTGGATTTTCTCCAGAGACAGTGACCTTTTTCATGGCGTGACATTTTTTCACAGCTAATACTTGCACATTTTTCATGGTGACTGAAAATTTTCACGGCATGAAATACTTTCACGGCGATTATAAACTTTTCACTGCGTGAAATTTTCACGGCGTGTTCACGGCGTGAAAGAGAAATTTCACTCACATTCCCAAAATTTTTCTTACTTTCACGGCCTCGACCGTGAAAATAGGCATAGCATGAAATTTAGATAGGTCACATTAAGCTTGATGCTGTGGATTGGTCCTGGATGGTGAGGTTGGTATTCGTTGATTTCGATTGTGGGTGATACTTGTGATGGTACTTTTGAAGCCCTGTACTAAGATCGCAATGAAATTCATACTCCGCCGCTTCCTTTCTACACTATTAGTTCGACAGTACATACAGACAAGTTCAAGAGAGTCATTTTTTTTTTGAGTCATGAAGTTACGATCTTTACAGAAAGGCGTTTGACTAAAACACCGTGTCTCAGATTTTTGTCAAGTGCACTTTTTCTTTTGTTATAAGCAGTTAAAGATAGGGATAGCAAATCATTAGCACTACCTGTGAAAAAATACTCTGATTTGGAATAAACAAAAAAAGAAATAAAAATTCGAACACTGTTTGTTAAAAAACTATTAGCAAGTAAGTTGGCCAAATTTCAGCCAAATTGGTTCATGGGTTGCAGACTGATTTTCATGTTGAGAAAACAGGACAAAAAGATTTTTGGCGGCGTATTACCCATGACGAGATTATATAACAATTATTCACCGAAGTGGCGGTGGCTTGTGGTGGATATTTACCGAGGCCATGACGCAGTGAGGTAAATAACCTTCACCAGCCACCAACACTGAGGTGAAGAATTGTTTTAGTACATACTAAAACAGTGAGCACAAGAATGATGATTGTTAACTCATTTACTGTTGCCAACTATTACAATTTTGGCGCGCAATGACCGAACGGCTGTAGTGGTCGCTTTGTCTTGCTGACAAATAAAACTTTTGAAGGCATTTGTTTAGCTCTTGTGGGGAAATTTCTTCAAAAGGAGTTGTGAATTCTTATTGTATTTAAAGTCATTCTGTATTAAAGGCTATTAAATTGAGTTTTAAGCTGATCTATGAACAAGTCAGCTAACAAGAGATAAGCTTAATTTGCGTTTGTGAACAAAAAACTTTTTCACTGGTTTTATCGATAAATTCAAGTCATAATGACAAAGCTTAACCTGTGAAAACTTCCAAACTGATCTTCGTCACCTTGTTCCTGCATTTCAGGAACAGCTTGCTTGATTAGTTGTGAAATTTCTTTGTTTGTTATGGCAGCAAACCGGGAAGGCGTTTTGGTCACAACTTATGTGAGTTTGGTGTCACCTTTAATGGGTTTTCAAAAGTTCTCCTTGATTGTAGTAGGAGCCCTTGTCACTCTGCTAATTTCGAAGCCCACTCTTTGCAAAACGATTTTGTCGTCGTCTTTTGTCCTGGAGTCAAGGACGAAAACAGACAAGCTCTTTTTTATTCTTTGGAGGCATTCACTTCCAAAATCCAGGGAAACTTAATGAATACTATACTTGTAGACCACGATTTCTGTCAAATTGTGTGATAAGCTTGGTTCAACAACGGCATTCATATCAAGTATGACAGGTCAACGATCAATTAAAATAATCAGCATAGAAAAAACTTTTTGCAATCCACAAGTCTCTTGGTGAGCTCTGTTTTATCATCGCAAAAATTAAAATTTCGAAAAGTGATTTTTTACCCTGGATGATATGTTGAATAAACGGTTCTTAAAAGAAACACCACCTAATACTTGAGACTTTGAGTTAACACGAGATGTGGCTGGCGACGACCAAAACAAACAAACGAGAAATGAAACTTTGCGGGGTGTGTCGCAGCAGGCTAGGTTAGGGACTATTTTACGGGTCGGCAAAAACAAGAAAACTACGGAAAACTAAAGGTGATGGTTAACGGTCATTTAATTCCAAATTCCAAAGACCAAAATCTATAGACCAAAGATTGACCATAAACTGAAATAACAATCCAAAAATCTCTATCAATTTGGCGAAAGGGCGATACTAAGACAAATAATGCGTAATCAACAAACTAAAGCTTGAAAACGGTAATAAAGTGATTCTATAACGATTAGGACGATAACAAGATGGTAAAATCTAATTAAAGGCTACATAAACTGAAATTAGACAATAATTCGATAAATCTGATCTCAATCCTTGTACTATAAAGCAAAAGTGTGAGCGTTGCTCTTATTGGCGTTCAAATCCGCTTTTCGCTCATGAAACTATTATAAATCAATTAAACATAAAGCTGTATACGTGTACAGTAACATCCGTGTACTTTGCCCACAGACTAAAGAACGAAACTAAACAAAAGAAATAACAAAAGAAATCACTTACGTATCGGTCCTGCTACAACAAAATCACAGAAAACGATGTCACGACGCGGATCCTACTTGACTTTTCCTGACCAAAAGGACGCTAACGTGCGCTTTTATACCTGCATGGGGACGCCGAAATATCTCGTTACAAGCCAATAGAAAATCAGGTAAACATTGTAACTACACTAGTAACTAGGATCAAAGCATGAAAATCATGAAATCAGTGAAGGGTATTGTTCTTATGTCTTGTCCTTTACATGGCTCCCCTGAAATAATCATATTATTTCACTAAATCAACTAAAAAATCAACTTAATGTTCACATAATTATGTTTTCTTTTCAAAGTTCTGTTCAGAGTTCAAGGCTCCTTGGAGGGAATTACCCCGGATCTCACTTAGTTCTTAACTTGTATCAGTAGTACCAGCTTGTGGATCGGTCGGTCAAAGTACCGTAATTGACCAGTTCTCTTTCCCTTGGAATCGAGGCAGCTATCCGCAAGAACAACCTGGACTTTACGTACTTGCCCATCTCCACTAGGGTAAACAGCTGAGACACGTGCTAACGGCCAAGCATTACGAGGGAGGCTCTCATCCTTCATGATTACAACATCCTCCACTTGTAAGTCTCTGCTTGGGCGTGTCCACTTCCGACATTCTTGTAAACTAAGCAGGAACTATTTTCTCCAGCGTGACCAAAACTT